TCTCCTTCCCCTTCGTCATTAGAGGTGGGGACACCGTCATATCTCGTTGGGGTTGTCTAATTTTTTTTTTTTGTTTCCTTCCTTCTTTCCTTCACTTTGCTGGCCTTCCTTTTCTTTTTCTTGCCGTCGTTATATGTGGATCACTTTGAAATTCCTACAACGTTTTACGTGCATGCGCCGTAGTAGCCGCCCTCTTTTTTTGTTGTGCCCAAAGACGCAACCATCGCACGGCTCAGCCCGATAGAAGCCGTTGCGCCTGCATGATAACTTTTGTTTCCCTTTTTGTCCAAAAGTTTTTTTTTTTTTCAGCCCCGCCCCCTTCAAGTGGTGGAGAGAAAAAAGAAAGGGAAAAATGGAAGCCGGAAGGAAAGAAGGAAAAAAAAAAGAAAAAAAAGAAATGCCGGCGAGAGAAAAAAAAAAAAAAAGACAACAAAACCACACAAACGGGAAGAGTTCAAAAACTTGCACTACATATTTATTCCAAAGCAAAGGGAAAAAGAAAGAAAAAAAAAAAAAGGTAAAAAAGAAAAAAAATACGCATAAAAGTGTACTTTGTGAGGGGAGTGTTGTGGGTATTCCATTGTAATGTTGGCTCGCTGTGTGGTATGCGGCCCCACTCCTGTCCGCCCCGGATGCTCACAGCAAATGTCATCGCCGCAGCATCATTCCACAGCCCAGAGAAGCATGTGCACTGCATTTGAGCTGCACACGCCACCCCACATTCATTGGCACCCTCCTCTCCCTACAAGTAAAATGTGTTGGAAATAAAAATCTCAGGCCTTAAAAAAAAAAAAGGACCTTCTTTTGTTGTTGTTTTTCTTGTCAGTTTTATTATTATATGTTAATGTTTTTTTCTGGAAGGGTGAAGAAGAAAAGGATTTTGAGTCGTTATGTCTTTTGTTTGTTTGTTTTTGTTTTTTTATTGTTATTGGTAGTGTTTTTATCATCATTTTTTTTTCATGTTGTTTCTCGAAAGGTGGAAAAGAAGAGGATTTTGAATTGTTATTTTTTGTTGTTGTTGTTGTTTTCTTGCAATGTGTGGAGTGTGGTGCCGAAGCTGCCTTGCTGAGAGCACACCCCATGTTGTCACCGTTCCTATGTTGTTATATGATATATATATATATCATGATGTGTATACAGGGAGAGGGAGAAAGCGATGTGGGCTGCTCCTGGTATGCCCCGTGTCGGTCGGGATGTTGCCTGCCGTCACGATGTGCCGTATGGATTCCAGTGGTAGCAATGACGATCCTCCTTGTAGATACGCACCGACGAGAATTGCAGGGATGAAATCGACGGAGATGACTCCAGTGAAACGCTCCCCTGCATTTCATATAGGAATGGATCACTTCCTTGAACATCGTCATGTCCGCATTCGGGCAGCAGTACTGCTGCCTCCATTTCGTGGTGGGCCCTCTCCATGTGGTTCTTGCGGTCGTCGGATGGACGTGCTGTACGTGCCACACCGTGATTGAGGTGGATGACATCGACGTGAGGCAGACTTCCTACTGAGGGGGGTGTCAAAAGAAAGTTGGAGCAATTCCCATTCCTCAGCCCCCCATCAAAACTGCATGGAGAAAAGCTGTCCATACTTCCAACCAAAACATGGTTATCATCGTTCGGGGCGCATGTGTTATTCGGCACGGGGACTTTTGCGGTGGAGAATGGCGCAGGTCCCCCCTGTACCACAAGCGATGAAGTTTGGCTAGCAGGAGATCCACGCGACACGACGGTGGGACTCTTGCTTGACAGGACGAAGAGTGAAGAATTCCCGGTGGCTGGGGTGAATGGCAGTCGCAGCGGTGATTGCGGGGTCCATTTCGTGGGAGGTCGTCTCAGAGCTCCAAGCTTGGAGGCAGCCACAATGCCGTTGTTGTTGCCGTGCATACTCATCCCCAAGTGAGCCATGGAATTCTCCTGATCCAAGCCATGACGATCCGCGCAGTGGATTTGCCCCGTCTGCTCCCAAACCACGCCGGCACGGTTCTTGGAAGAATTGTTGTGACCGCCGAGTGCACCGAAGCTGGCGTTGATGTTGCTGCTGCATGTGCTTGGGATCTGCCCCACCCCAACAGCACCCCACGCATCCACAATTTTGGATATCGTCGGCGACGAGTCATCCCGCGCTTCCACAGCCGCGCTGCCACAACCACCACCATTCGCCTCGTAAGACGCCGGTCCCCCCGCTCTGCCCGGTGCCCCGTAGTTGAAGATGGGCAATCTGAATGTAGGCTGCGAGTTGGTGGTGGACAGGTGGTGGCTGCTCGCAGACTGCGTCCACGCCACCGACTGCGGCGCTGCCTCCCTCGACTCGCCCACCATTTCGCTGTGCGTTGTCTTTTGGCATGCGGCATTGTCTTTTGGCAGCGGCACAGAAAGGGATTCCCCGCTCTTTTTCTTCCCGGGCACCTTCTTTGTGGATGAAATGACGGCCGCTTCCCCATCGGCCTCCGCGGCAACGCCCCCGGCGCCACCGTTTCGCACGGCAACGCAGTGGAAGTACGAATAGCCGTCGTGTTTGATGTGCCAGGGCCGCAAACGCCCCAGACGCACAAAAGCGCTCCCGGCACCCGGCACGATTTCACCCACCCTGCTCCCATGCTCCATTGGGTCTTGGCTGGCTGGATTTGGGTACAAGAGCCAGCGGGCGTCCACATCCTTCGCCTCCCGCGCCTTACCGGTGAGGCGTCGCATCCACGACAAAGCCACATCCTCCGCGCGCAGCGAGGAATCAATGTACCAGCATCCCTCCACCGGATCAAAGCGGATCAGATCGCCAAATGACACCGATTTATTCGGAACTCTCAGAGTTGCTGCCGAGTTACAATTGGCAGGCAGTTTGCCACCAACTGCTCCTTGCACCTTTGAGTGCATCCCACTCCCAACAAGCGCATTTTTGGCTGCAGAAGAGACGAGGCATCGAAACGGAGCCCCGTCAAATTCGCGGCCCACGGAAAAGACATCATGCGCCTGTGCAAACCCACAAGGCAGCAAGCAGCCTCCAGACAGTTCGAGCCCATTTCTTGGAACCACACCATGCAATTCGACATTCCACGAGTCACTCGGATTGGGAGGGCGCAACTCACCACGGAACACAAGTGGCGGGGGCACGCGTGAAGTTAGGGCCATCATCAAAGCTTCCGTCGTATCGCTCAAGGGAACACACCAGAGCTTTTGCAACGCCTCAACAACTTTTGCATTGGAAATTCGTAATACAACTGCACCATCCAAAAAGTAGCTGCACAAACCCTTCTCCTGAAGTCTTTTCAATGGCGATAGATGTGATTTTCTCGCGGCATTCTGTGGATCAGCGATTGGACCCAGCCCATTAGTCGCATCCCCCACCACCATAATGGAAGATCCGCCGCAATTGCCGTACGCCGTGCCAGTGAGAGCATTTTTGACTGGAAATGCGGAGCCACAGGTTGTGGATGTTGGCGGCATAGACCCACGTGTTTCCCCATTTGTGGGCCGTTTGTTGCGTTGTCGCTGCAATACATGTAGCTTGGCCAATGTGGGGACAGCCGGTGCCAGTTCCTCCAGCGTATCCATAAAGAGATGAATCTGACGGCATAGCTGCAGCTGCGGGATGTTAGATAGCTGCGGGATGAAGGCAAGATCCAGGTGCCGCAGCAGACACAATGGATAAGACGGTAAATGATGTTCCATATCCCCGCCGCATGGCTGCTGAGTCCCATCTTTGCCCATAAAATGCGAGGAGATGTCCATCATGCTGCTTGCGAACGCTCTGCACGCGGCCATCCACGCATGAGGCTGCTCACGTTCCCCAACATCACGCTCCACAAACCCCGTGACAACAAGACTGTCCCCACTGAGACCAAAAGGCCCCATCAGTGAATGCGGAATAGACGATGGCACATTCGGCAAATTAGAGCGAACCGTTTCTGCGTCTTGCATGTGGCCAAACAACTCATCCACCGTCCAGCAGCCGTAGAACCCGCCCACACGTGCACTCAGACTTACACCACCCGTCTCCCACATGAGCCACGACCGGCCGTCCTCCTCCACCATCACGGATGCCGTTGCGTCTCCCTTCTGCGGAGAAACAGAAACCGTTTCCACAGCCGCCGCTAGACCAAATGCGGTATTGTTCTTCTCCGATATGTCCGGGACGACGTCGTGATAACGCAGCAGCAAAATGGCGCACGGCACCGGACGTACCCGCTGCTGTTTTGTGTGTCCCATGTTGCTTTTGCCGTTGTGACCGCCGCCATTTTCACCCTCGCCAATGCCCTCTCCAACACGATCCTTCCATGCACTTTTACCTCCACCTTCCAATTCGGCCTGCATAACTGCTTTAAGCGCATCCTCGCTATCGAAAAGATTCACCTCGGTGCCCTCAACCAACAGGCTGTACAGTGTGTCTGGCGAAAGAAATGGTGCCGAAAGCGCTGGTATGGCCTCACTGTACCCTTCTGCCCCCTCTGACTCTCGTACCTCCCTCCCACCAAGCTCCAAGTCAAAGTAATGTACCGTCGGATCGAGATACGCCGTGGGTGGCAGATGCTGCGTGCAGTGGAAATGATAGCGGGGATGTTGCCTTTTCCGTGCCTCCACCAGTTGCTGAAAAAGAACACTTCTGGATGACGGAAAATAGCGCTTTATGAGTGGAACCAAACGCAGCTGGCAGTGCACTGGTGGGGACATGCAACTCGTTGGCGAGTCTGTACCCCCGCCCGCTCCGCTCGTAGGCGTGCCGTTACCACAAGCCATGTCGTGCGGTTGAAGCTCCGCGGGGGCACTGATGAACCACAGCGGGGCATCCCCCTCCTTGTGGAGCAAACGCCGCAGGGGTGTCATTCCCATCCGTCAGAGTAAAAAAGCCACAAGAAAAAAGAGGCACACACACACACACACACACGGGGAATAAAAAAAAATTAGCTAATAAATAAATAAAATGTATGTATTATATAAGTGTGTAATATATATGTGCGTGTCAGGGAACAATTCGTCTAATTTGGCAAGAGTGTGAAAACTATTCTCCCGCTTCCTCCACCCTTTGAGTTTTGGGCTGTTTTGTCAGTCGTGCTTCAAAATAAACCAAGAACGAGGAAAAAGAATAAGAAAGAAAAAAAAAAAATTTGTTTTTGTTTTTGCAACAATGCATCATCCCGTTGACAGGAATACGACAGACAGGCGGGTAGAGCGAGAATGAGAGACAATCACGCAGAGAGAGAAAAGAGAAAAGAAAAGGGAAGAAAACTTCAAAGTGTACACGCCTCTGCCAGGCGTCTAAACCGGCGATGAGAATCATAACAACACCCTCAGCAGACTATTCGCACAGAAAGTGCGGGACGGCACATGGCTGCTGCAACAACGCATTGGCATCACCAGTAATGCAGCACGTACTGCTCCTTTTCACGGAGGACCACCTCGAGTGCCTCCCGTTGCTGTGGTGGATCGTACCCACAGACAACTACGAACGGGCCACCGCCAAGACGGTCCAACCCAAATCGTAGCCGCGCGGTGGTTTCGCACAGGACGCGAATGGACATTTCCGTCCCAGCAGGCGTCACGTTGGCAACAGTCGCGTAAAAGGCACATGGAAGACAAAAAAATCCCGCAGGCATGGCAACATCAAAGCCGCCACAAACATGTTGAAGTTTGAAATCGCCGCAGCATACTGCCGCCTCGACAGTTTCCTTCATTGCAGCCATGTGCGCTGCACCAGGAAGGGGTCCCATGTTGACACTTGGATCAAGGCTGTGGCCCAGACGCAAATTACGCACATATTGCACCACACTCTGTAGCACCGGCAGAACATCCTGCTTAGGAACAAATGCAATGTGAAGGGCGTATAGCATTCTCCCGTTGCCATGAAATGCATGTTGACAGATAAGTGCTGCCACCCGTGACGCGTCGAGTCGTACTGCCATCGTCTCTGTATGATGATGACCTGATCCCACAACGGCTAAGGAAGGCTTCATGACGCGGTGATACCAACGTGTGATGCATGAGATGCTCCCATGACTAATTGCAGATGGAATGCCATGTGCTTGGTGGTTGCGGCTTAGCTGGTGGTCCCTAAAGCCGTTCTTCAGCCCCACAATGGACAAACCGCTCTCCTGTTGCCGAGAAAATGCCGCCACCACGTCGTCGGCGCGGCAAAGAATAATGTTCACCGCCCCTCGTGAGTCTGCCACGACATTCTTGTTGCTGCGATGCAGAAGATGCATGAGCCAAAGCGCTGATAGTGGTGTGTCAAGCGAAGGCAGCCACACGGCCGCACTCCCTCGCAAGAGTGCAGTCGCCACCGTCTCCATGCCCCACTGGAGTGGGTAATTCGCTGCCGTCACACACAACGCCACAGAAGACTTCCCAGTGAGTGTGCTAACAGAATGGCTATCACCACAGATATTGGCGCCGCCGCACCCAAACGAATGGAGAACCTCCTCCGCATCCACAGAAGCCGCATCCTTCATTATTACTGCTGTTGTTGCTGCCGCTGTGGGTGTGCGCAACCGCTGCTCGCAGAACAAAATAAAGTTGAGTGCCGCATCGAGAGAACGACGTGCGTCACGCAGGCACATCCCCGTGACCAATGCATCCGCGGAGGCGAGTAAATCCGCATTCTCCCTCAGCAACACAGCCAGACCGTCAAGGGCGAGACGGCGATCGGTGATGGACAGTGAATGAGCGGAGCGTGTGACATCACGCAATGCACGCACCGCCGACGCCGTGGATTGAGAAAAAAACGAGTAGACGCCGGCAGCGTCAGATGGGCTCTCCAGCACAGCTGGCACGCCGCCCCCATCGCACGAGTCACACCAACGCAGTTGACCGCACACATACGCCGAAGCGGCAGCAGGAGGGAGAAGGTCGCGGTAGCTTTGCTTCCATACAAACCGTAACACCCTCGTGCGTGGCATCATTCCGCATCTCCACATCGCTTCCCTTCAAACTAACACGCGCACGTATAAACGGAAGCAATTCTTTCACCTCGCCCAATCGCTCATAAAGTAATTAGCCCACTTTTTTTTTCCCCTGCAGCCACAGGACATCAATGAGAAAAGGCAAGAAAGTCAAAAAAAAGACATTTTTATTTATTTATTTAAATGCATACATTCAGGCGCATCTTATTCGCTGCTGTTTTTATTGGTACTTCCCCAAGAACAGTGGAAGACATTTGATCACGCAACAGCAACAACGCGCTTTTCCTCTTTGTGATCAATAAAACACAAGTACATGTCGTTAGATATAAAAATATTACAGGCACCCTCACACGTGTAGTGCCATAATGACGTGTGTTTCTTTGTTTGTTGACACGTTGCTCGCTTATTTTTGTTGCGTTTGTGGGTCCCCAGCGGGATCCGCTAATACCTCAGTTAGACAAGTCGGGCACCATGCCACCTCCTCCTGTATGCGGCAGAGAACCTGGCGTTCAAACGCGGTCAGTGGATGGTGCTGCTGCAGGTACCCTCGGGTCATACCCTCCATGAGCTGCCTCACGATGATGCTTCCCAGCCGGCCATCGCGCAAAAAGAACGCCTGCTTCTCTGCCACCACCTGTAGAAGCTCAACAATGTTCTCCAACTCCCACGATACAGCCCCTTTACGCGGAGCCTCGTCGCTCAGCCGCCCTGTCGCGGCCCAGCTCTGCAAAAGGCTCTCCGCACTCACGGATGGGGTGCTCACCCTATCACCGTCGTCACGCGTATTGGTATCCATCGCCGTGGTGGTGTCGGCAACGGCAGTCTGAAATGATGTGCGGTGCTGCGTGTCGTCTCCCTCGAGTATTGTGTGGGCCATGAGTCGAACCATCACGACGGAAACAGATGGGGGGCAGGCGGTGGCAGTTACTGCAAGTGCCTCAAAGAGTCGTCTGTTCATCGATTCCTCCGCGTGTGGAGAGGCGTAGGCGGTAAGTGCCTTGAGAGTATCGGAGGCGGAAGCAGTGATGACGCCTCCAGAACGTGGCAACACACCAATGTAGAGTGCCTCCAGCACAAAAAAGAGATCCGTGTTGTCACCACGCGATTTATTTTCATTGCCACCGATCTGACTGTGCCAATCCCGTTGTGTCTCGCGGTGCAGCACACACCACTTGAGAACATGGCATAATATCACATCCCACTCCAGGAGACGCTTCATGCACTGGTGTGCCCCAAGTGCCTGCTGCAGCCAAGCACACCATGCAGATTTGCTGAGAAGTTCGCCGTCATAAAGTGGAAAGAGGAACCACGGCCACTGTGTCTGTTCGACCGCCCGTCTCAAACTTTTCCCCAATTCAATACGTAAAAGTGTTGTTGGTGGCAATGACGTTGATGACTGGACCGTCGCACCAAGTTCGATGTCATCCGGTAGCCCGAGGATCGAATTTATTATCTTCTGAGCGGCGTCCAGGCAATGCTTCGTTAAGGCGATGCCATGAAGAATAAATATCTCTGCAATGTACGTGCTCCGTTTGTACTGCTGCTGTTGGTCCACCGACAGTGTATGCGTATGACGACGCATGAAGTTGGCCACCTCAATCATTGTGCAGATCTCGTCCGGCAGCAAATGCCCTATAAGTTTTGAAAGTCCCATGCAATTTTGCTCAAATTTGATGGCCAGAGCTGCGGCGTATCCCATGGACGACTCAGGGCGTACTGCAGAGAAGGCGATGTGCGTTGATGCCAACAGGCGAACACGCGCGTGGGTCAAAGAGGCCCAACAAGACTCCACAAATGGTTGCGGATGGAATGCGATGAGTGGTTGGGTGTGGACGGTAAAAGAAGAACCCACCTCTCGACTATTGTTCAATCGAATAAATGCATGCCGCAGCCCCTCGGAGCTCAGCACAAATTTAGCCAACATCTCCTGCACACGATGTAGCGTCTCACCCGCAGAGCCAAGCAGGAGCGACGTCTCCTCTGTCTCTCCAGCGATAGTAAAGTACGTGGCCAAGTAGTGCATCGAAGTCGCAGCAGCAAGAAGTGAAGCGCAATAACCCGCTGATGCCTCGTCCACTGCGCGGTCCTCAATCGCCTGGGCACATGTCACCAGCGTTTGCACCGCACCACGCGCCAACGCCAGACTACATGTCTCAATCGTGGAAGATGTAGGCTCTGATGGCACGGTGGTGGAGGTAAGGAGAAGCCACATCTCCGCCGGCATGCATGCACCCACCCCAGTCGCCGTTAGAAGCGCGTCCCAAATGTCGTAAAATACGCCAAAACGCCCATGGCGTACCAGGGCGCGGAGCACAAGAAATGCTGCGAGAGACGCCACAACCTCTGACACAGAGCGCATCTCTTCGGCGGGTATTGTGCACATATGGCGAAGGAAGAGTACAAGGCTTTCATACAGAAGCGGTAGAAGCACGCTGCATGCTTGTTTCACATGCAGCACACGGCGCAGTAGCAGTAGCTCCTCAACAATCTCTCCAGTCGGTGTCGCTCCCACCAACACACTGCCCAGTCGTTCCGTCACAAATCGGGTGTAACGCGGGTCGGAAGCCACACGAACGGCAACAGGTGGAAGCGACAAAACGCCACTTCCCAGCAGCAGCCGTGCAACGACCGTCGGCGGCAGCAGACTCAGCGCATCCATGACGCTGGAAGTCAGACCCAGTTGATCCAATGCGCGGGCCTTGTCTTCTCCACCTCGCATCCATTCAGAGAGATCCGCAAAAGTCACCTCGTTGTTGGCGGCGGCGGTGGTGTCTTCCTCCTTCCCCTCTTCCTCCATACATGCTGCCGGATCTGTTGGGGGAACGCCAATTTCACCAACCACCTCCACCATCTCGGCCGTGGCGTCGTAAAAGAGCAGCACAAGGCATTCAGCAGCGGTGCCACATGGCACCTTGTGGCCGGACGAAAGTTCCGTAATGATGAGACGCACAAACTGAGCGCAGCCAGGGCCAAACGCGCACCGCTCTCTCAGCTTGGAATCGCACATGAGCCGTGCCTTCAAAGCGGATGTGGCACACTCACGGTGCTTGCGGACAGTACTACACAAAAACCGCAGTAGAAGCTCCACGTATGCCTCGCCTTGCACAAACTCGGACAATTCTTGCGCCGTCGTCGTCCCATCTGCACTGGGGGGGTGAAGTGGCACAGTGTAGTATCCCCTTTCCAGCCCCTCAAACTCCTGTGCCTCCCACTGATGTTGACGTGCCATTGACGCAATCACGCCAGTGCCATCATACGAGCCCATCCCAATGTAACCTGTGATGTTGCCAGCACCGTTGCTTGTCGTCGGCTGCACGTGAGCGGTGAATCCATGCGCAGGGCCCGCCGTCGTCGCCCCGCCAGCCGTCCCCGTAAGGCCGATGCGGCTGCGCTCATCCATTGTTTGGCGACCGTAAAAGCGGTCGGGGTGAAATCGCGGAAAAGGCCTCCCCACAACGGCCTGAATCGGGCGCAGAGTGCAGAGAACCCCATTGCTGTCGTCACCACTAGTGGCGGTGGTGGTGGCAATGTTTGAATTGCCTCCAGTGTGCCGCTCAACAATCTCAGCCAGGACGGGACGATCCCCGGCCGGCTCCATTATACCCCCTGCACACACACACACACAAACCCTAATACAAGCAAACGGACAAGTAGAAAAAAAAAAAAAAAAAGGGAGAGACGTAGAAGAAAGTGTCAAGCCTCAGAAAAAGCGCAGACCACGCCTTTCCTCCTCAAATGCCTGCCACCTGCTCCATCCTCCGGCGCGGACGCAAACCCCAGCGGCGGCACAAAAGGCAAAAATGCACATACCGGCTATCGGCTCAAAAGCAGCACACGCAAACACTGAGGGACACTCGCAAACACAAAAAAAAATAAAAAAAAGAGGTAAAGGATAAGAAAACGCCTTGATCGTATGTACACAACGCCCAACGCCCTCAATTGAATGCTCGATATTTAAAAAAGGTCAGTCGCCTTTCTTCTGCTGCAGTCATAGTAAATCGTATGTAATAGAACGGCCGGAAAAAAAAATAAAATAAAGAAAAAAAAAAGGCTCCCTCAAGAAGCTACATCAAAAAGTTACGGAAGAATTTAAAAAATAAAAATAAAAAGAAGGGAAAGGGGATTCAAGAATTAAAAAATAAAAAAGGGAAAAACACGGAATAAAGGGAGCTTCCTGCTCACGACTTCCGCCAATCCCACACATACCGAGTGTCATGCACAAAGCGCTTAACAAACCCTTTATCTTTCTCCAGCTCCTCCCTTGGCGCCGCACCGTGTGCCACGTTTGGCCCCACCTGCACAAGCGTCGGCTGCCGCCGCACCATCGGAGTTAAACTCCCTGGCGAAGTCGCGCTGCATGGCGAGCGTGGAAAAGATGTACTCGAGCCAGCCACGTTAGCACCGCCAAACGCCTGGCGAGTATTCGCGGCGTAATGAAACAATGCTCCCATCCAACGTTTGGCGGTGGTGATCGCCGTGGAAGTGACACGTGTAGGGAGATACGAAACGCCGCCCTCCTCAGTCTCATTGTTTGCACTGTCCGGCGCGAGCGAGAAAAGCGCGGAAGTGATGCTGAGACCGGGGGAGCTTCGTTCTCCGTTTCCCGCTTTGCCCCTTGTGGACGGCTGCGCGTCCTCTCTCACAATAGGTTGCTGGGAAGGTGATGGCGCACATTTCAGCGTGCCAGAGCCTCGTTTTTGCGTGTCCAATGAAAAAAGACCCCCCTGACCGTTCCTCTTGTTGGGATTCGCAAAGTCTGGAACTGTGCCGTGGTAGTACTTCCTGCCATTCAACTCAAAGCGGTAGATGTAAAAGATTCCCTCCCGCACATGAACAATTTTTTGCCTCTTCTGTCCCTTGCCTTTCGCTTCCTTCACACGCTCTCCACTGATATTATTATTACTATTACTACTATCATTATTATTATTGCTATTATGCCCATTATTGCACTCCTCCCTATCATCATCATCATCATCCTCGTCATCGTCGCATTCCTGCATGACGGTCACCCAGCAAGGATCATCCGGTGGGGCCTCTCGAGCTGCCTTGCAATGCGGTCGCATCGCCGCAAGCACAACCGCGTCGAGCGGGATGCTGCGATCCGCCACCCACACACAACGATCAAAATCAAAGCGCAGCACATCACCCTCGTCAAACCCGTCCATCACAGCCGCCCCCATAACGTACACATCCAACTTGTCTATGGGTGTATTGCCACCCTCGCTGAGAGGAAGTGGTGGGGGATGGTGGCGGTCAACAATTCCACGGAAGCGCCAGTATGGAACATCGCCCGGTAACGGGTCCACACGCCGCAAGATCACCTCCGGATGCTCAGCCAACGCAAGACATAGACGTTCCGCTAGTTCCTTCCCAATACGACCATGCAACATGTTATCGTCGGTGATCCACATTTCCACATCTGAACGCGCAGGGGTCTCAAAAGAATTTCCAAAAAGGTTGGAGGTAGAGCTGTTAATCGAACTAGAACGCGATTCTTGGGAACCATATGAATGGGAAATGAGCCCCAATTGCCCCAGGCGACAACGCATCTCGTGTAAAAAGGATAGGACTGGTACATTCGTCATAAGCGATGAGAAACTAAAAGTATCCATCGGTGGCATAGAGGGCTTTAAATGGTAAGGGGAGTGCGTTGTTTGCGCTGCGGGGCGCTGCAGCAACCCGGCATCAATGAGTTGGTCACAATACATACTCGCAGCCAAAAAGGTTACGCGACTAAGGTTTTGCTCGCCGGCGGATTTGGTGAGAAAAACAATCGCAGCTAACGGTGCCGCCACAGGAGGAGGCAGTGAGACGAAATGTTCGTAATTCGATCCGGCGATGCCCTCCAAATGAATACGCCTCGTTGCACCTGGGACAGTGACGCGCGGCCGTTGTTGGAGCATAGGTTGGCGTGGGTCGTACGATGGCGACGACGCCATGGAGGAGCCACACGCCGGAGCGGGGTGCATCGCAATACGCTGGTAGTGTACGGGGACAGCGCCGAAGGCGTCTTCATGGGGCTCCCGTGCCATCATTGCCGAGGACGCCACTCCAGGAGAGAGCATTCTGCTGCGACGACCAGAGACAATCGATCCATCTGGCAAGGATGGGCGCGGTGGTGTTTGGCGAGACGGATATGTTTGACTTCCCCCACTGGCGCTCCCCAAACCTGCGGCGGCCACCGGTACCCCCTCCACCTCCATGGGGACGAACCCGAAGCAGCCCACGATGTTCACAATTGACCCGCAGAGGTAAACACCCTGTTCCATCGCGGAGTGGAGCTGTTGTGAATTGAAATTGCCCGTGTGACCAGTTTGCTGGGCCACTTTGTTAGGATCGTAGCGGAAGGCGACCGCACACAGAATGGGAAGAACTCTCTTCTTCACATCGGCGTGCCCCGGGGAACTCATCCCACCCATACGCTCATGCGCCCGACGCATTTCCTCGTCGGTGTCAAAAAGCATCTCCTCCACACGTTCCACAACCCCGCAGTACAACGCCTCCCGTGACGGATACGACTCACCGTCACCGTTGTGCGTGGCTGGTATCCGGCTGAGATCGCCAGGATTCCCTGGCCGCCGAAAGTAATAGTTCACCCCCGCCTCACATCGGGTCTTGTGGAACTGCACAAAAAGTGCACAATCTGGTGATGGAAAAAATTCCTTCGTGAGAGGAATCAACACAATCTCATGCTTCCTGCCTCCACCAAGATGACTTCCCGCCGGCGCACGTGGGAAATAGAGGCCGCGCCGCTGTGTCTCCCGGCTTGGTACTGCCCCCATTTCCGTTAACCGCGTATGCAACAAGATAATACCCTATCCAATTCCTTCACTTTCAATAAAAGTGAAATTATATATGTATATTTGCTTCGTTTTGTTTTGTTTTGTTTTGTTTTCTGTGTGACTCTCTTTTCTTCTTCCTTCGTTTTCTTTCCTCTTTCTTGTGCTTCAATATTTGTTTATTTTCGGTTGTTGTCCGTTTTGCTATTTCGCCTCTCTTTTTCAGTAGGAATAAATATATTTATTTCTGCGTATATACGGATGAATATATATATATATATATATGTATGTGTGTGTGTATATGTAAACTGTCTCAAATGTCCAAATATATATATACACACACAATAAAGAAAAAAAAAAAAAGGAATAAAAAAAATCCGCGTACCTCCCTTTTCTTTTGGTGAGTCCCTTCCTTCATGTGTGCCAGTAGAGAGTGTTTTGAACAGCAGCGCAAGTAAAAAGGATCTGTGAGAAAGAAGGAAGAGCCACACACACACACACACAAAAAAAAAAAAAAAAAAAACACGCACACATAGTTTCTCTGTGTGTGACAGACAATGCGGCGGTACATGCCTTTCACACCAGCCTGCCGGAGGGAAAAACAAAGTCACACGACACACATATATGTATGTACGTATGTATGTATGTATATATTACACATGCACCCCTCCAACGAAAAGGTGACTTTCTGTATTTCTGTGTGTCTATCGCCCTTTTCACCTGCCACTTTTCCTCCCGCGCCCAGACGGCAGTTCCAACCGAATCAAATCAAATCAATGCACAACAGGGGGTGGGGGAATGGGGGAGAAACAAAAACACACACACAAAAAAGGGGAAGCGGAGCAAAAAAAAAAAAAGAAAAAAAAAAAAAAACGAGTGCATGGCCTTAAAGGTGCCGGCACTGCCAAGAGAAATGCTCCCAGCGAAGGTGGCAGCCACAGCAGCAGGCTTCCAGCAAAAAAAAAAAAAAAAAAAAAAAAAGAAAAAAAAACATAAAAAAAGGAAATCAACCAAAAAGTCCCTTCTAAAAAGCAAAAAGGAAAAAAAAAAGGAAAACGCAAATTAAAGCAAAAAAGCAAAAAAAAAAAAAAAGGAAAAGGCATGCGGGTTGCCGTCCATGTGTTACCTCGCCGACAGGCGTGAGTGATATTCGCACAATCGGCATTCGCACACAGAAAGAGAAAACATACACACAGACAGACAGACAGGCAGACAGACAGACAGACACATAGGCACGGCTACAATGCCCTCCCCTCCCCGCCATATCTCAACCCCCCTCGAACCAAAATTGTCCATCACTTACATAAAAAAAACAAAAAAAAAAACATGAAGAGAAATAAAAGAAAAAAAAAAAAACCGTGAGATGCGCATATTAAAGTAATTATGGATATAAGATTTTTTTTGTCCTTCTTCTTTTTCTTTTTCCCCTCAACCCCTCCCTCATTCCTCCCTCCCTCTCTCTCTCTCTCTTTTTTTTTTTTTTTTTTTTTTCTTTTAGGCAGCTGAATGAGTCAAATCCTTAATTCTATTTGTTTATTCTTTTTCCTCCCCTCTCCACCCCCCAGTCCTCTAATTTAGTCACTGGAGCCCATTGAGCACATATCCCTGCACTATGATCCGTTTATGTGTGGGCTTGCGGTGTGTGTGTGTGTGTGTTTGAAAGTGTCAGTAAAAAAAGAGCAAACCAAACAAAAAAAAGCAACTCCTTTTCCCTTTTTTTTTTCTTTATTATTTTTATTTTTTCTCCCTTCACAGTTAACGCGTCGCATTCTCTTCGTTCAGGGAGTACGCACATACAAAAAAAAAAAAAAAAAACGCGCTTTTTTCTTTCTTTCTTTTTTCTTCTTTTTTTTTTTTTCTTTTTCTCACTTCCGCGTGTTTCTTTTGTTTTACCCAAATATATGAGTATATATATATATATATATATATATATATATATATTTGTCTGTGTGTATAAAATAAAAATAAAATAAAAAAATGTCTCTCATACCCAGTTTTAATTTTACGCCGCACGTGTGTATATTGCAATATACATTTATTTGTGTATATGGGCCTCTGGGATGCATGCGCTTAAGTTCAGGGTGTTTTTTTTTTTTTTTTTTTTTAAGACACCGCTGACGACACTGTTCATTTCATGTTTTTTTGTTGTTGTTTTTTGTTTTTTTTTTTTAGTTTGTTGTTGTTTTTGTTGCATTCATGACGTATAAAACTGAATTGCTGCTGCTGCTGCTGCTTCCACCACCACCATCCCCCGCCACCGTCCCATTTCCGCTACTGCGGGAAATGTGAGGGGAAAAAAAAAAACAAAAAAAAAAAGGCAACAAAATTACAGTTGTGTGGGAATTATCATTGTCGTACTATAAAGAGGGGATTTCCGTCAGGCCGCTGAGGCACTTGCGCAGGCATGTAGGAAAACTGCTGCACAGACTGCATACCCGTATGACCCATGGTAGGATATACACAATAGTATGCATTTTGCATCGGCTGTATTGCTGACGGTATCGGCTGTGCGTATGGAACGTACTGGCAGCTGGCGCAATGACACCCCATGGATTGCCCAAAAACACGCACACATAGTTTCTCTGTGTGTGACAGAAAATGCAGCGGTACATGCCTTTCCCACCAGCCTGCCGGAGGGAAAAACAAAGTCCCACGACACACATATATGTATGTATGTTATGTATATACACATGCACCCCTCCAACGAAAAGGTGACTTTCTGTATTTCTGTTTGTCTATCGCCCTTTTCACCTGCCACTTTTCCTCCCGCGCCCCGACGGCACTTCCAACCAAATCAAATCAAATCGCAACAGGGGGTGGGGGAAGGGGGGAAGAAACACAAGCATACACACGCAAAAAAAAAGGGGGGGGAGCGGAGCAAAAAAAAAAGAAAAAAAAACGAGTGCATGGCCTTAAAGATGCCGGCACTGCCAAGAGAAATGCTCCCAGCGGAGGTGGCAGCCACAGTAGCAGGCTTCCAGCAAAAAAAAAAAGAAAAAAAACATCAAAAAAGGAAATCAACCAAAAAGTCCCTTCTAAAAAGCAAAAAAAAAAAAAAAAGGAAACCGCAAAGTAAAGCAAAAAGGCAAAAAAGCAAAAAAAAAAAAGGAGAAGGCATGCGGGTTGCCGTCCATGTATTACCTCGCCGACAGGCGTGAGTGATATTCGCACAATCGGCATTCGCACACAAAAAGAGAAAACGTACACACAGGCGCAGACGCAGACAGACAGACAGACAACTAGGCACGGCTACAATGCCCTCCCCTCCCCGCCATATCTCAACCTCCCTCGAACCAAATCGTCCATCACTTACATAAAAAAACAAAACAAACATAAAGAGAAATAAAAGAAAAACAAAACAGTGAGATGCGTATATTAAACTAATTATGGATATAAGATTATTTTTTTTTGTCCTTCTTCTTTTTTTCCCTTCTACCCTTCCCTCATTCCTCCCTCCCTCTCTCCCTCCCTCTTTTTTTTTTTTTTTTAGGCAGCTGAATGAGTCAAATCCTTTATTCTATTCATTTATTTTTTTTTCCCCCCCTCTCCACCCCCCAGTCCCCCAATGTGGCCACTGGAGCCCATTGAGCACATATCCCTGCACTAAGACCCGTTTATGTGTGGGGTTGCGGTATTTGTGTGTGTGTGTTTGAAAGTGTCAGTAAAAAAAAGACCAAACAAACAAAAAAAAGCAACTCTTTTTCCTTTTTTTGTATTTTTTTTTTTTTTCTCCCTTCACAGTTAACGCGTCGCATTCCCTTTGTTCATGGAGTACGCACATACAGAAAGAAAAAAAAACGTGCCTTTTTCTTTCTTTTGTTTTCTTTCTTTCTTCTTTCTTTTTTTTTTTTTTTTTCTCACTCCCGCGTGTTTCTTTCGTTTTACCCAAATATATAAGTATGTATATGTATTGTGTGTGTATAAAATAAAAAGCGTCTCTCATACCCAGTTTTAATTGTACGCCGCACGTGTGTATATTGCAATGCACATTTATTTGTCTATATGGGCCTCTGGGATGCACGCGCTTAAGTTCAGGGTGTTTTCTTTAAGACACCGCTGACGACAATGTTCACTTCATGTTTTTGCTTTTTTCTTTTTCTTTTTAGATTGTTGTTGTTTTGGTTGCATTCATGCCGTATAACACTGAATTGCCGCTGCTGCTGTTTCCACCACCACCATCCCCCGCCACCGCCCCATTTCCGCTACTGCGGGAAATGTGAGGGAAAAAAAGAAAAAAAAGGCAACAGAAATTATAGCTGTGTGGGAATTATCATTGTCGTACTATAAAGAGGGGATTTCCGTCAGGTCGCTGAGGCACTTGCGCAGGCACGTAGGAAAACTGCTGCACAGACTGCATACCCGTATGACCCATGGTAGGATATACACAATAGTATGCATTTTGCATCGGCTGCATTGCTGACGGCATCGGCTGTGCGTATGGAACGTACTGGACAGGTGGCGCAGATGACACGCCCATGGATTGCACCATCGGTACACAGGGTACAGGAGATGATGCATCCATGGCATTGAAAACACCCACGTTACTTTGGATGCCACCATCACAAGATTCCGACGGTTCTCTTGGCGAAGCAGCCGGCAATGAGCCGTAGGTCAACGCAGGTGACATCATCATGAGTGGCGGCGACTCCGGGTATTGCGCCTGCACGGGGGCAAATGGCGCCATGGAAGGGTAAAATGGACACACGGCTCCCTGGTTCATGTCATTCATTATCATTAAAGGCATCCGCCGTGCCACTTCAAACTGCGCCTTACCAGCGTCCTTATAGTAGCCCAACCTCATTCCCTTGTCGCGTGCCAAATGAGCCTGCGATCCACCCTTTCCGGATAACTTCGTCCTGGAGGTGCCTTTACGCTGCGGCGCCCTCCCTTCTCCAGCTGCCTGACCACCCGCCCCCGCCTCCGCGTGGGAGGCACCACGCCTTGCCGGCTCGCTTCGATTCCTAAACGCGTTTGCAAACCTCGGCACTGTGCCGTAAAAGTACCTCACCCCTTTGCGTTCAAAGCACCAAATACGAAAGCCGCCATCGGAGACAGGCTCACCGGTTTCCTTGTCCCGTAGCCAATGCGGGTCATCGGGTTGTGCCTCGCGGGCACTTTTGCACTCCTCGTGCACGAAAGAAAGCAGGACATTCTCCAAGTGAATGACGGGGTCCACCTGCCACCTGCCACGCTTAGAATGAAATATATCTGCGTCCTCAACAACCTCAGTGGTGACGCCCGCCTCTTCGGTGGCTCCCTTGGCGGTACCCCCAGCAGCGAGGCCCGGTGTATGCTGACTCTCAATGGCCTCCGGCACAAAGCGAATGATGTCCCCGCGTCTCACCTTCAACAGCGAAGCGTCTGAGCCATCCTTACCGCCGGCATCGCTGGTTGCAGCGTCCTCACACTGCTCAACGCGCACCAATGCATCCACGCACACAACATACACTTCATTTGAGCTGTGCGTCGATGCGGGAATGATAAACTCATCATTTTCTATAAATCCAGCAAGATTAAAAAACTGCTTGTGAAGGCGTGAGAGGGTCAAACCGCGACACGCAGAGCTTGTTTCTTCCGTACCAACGCTGCTGGCAACTTCGCTGCTGGTCGGGGAGTTAGTGGTTCGACTCGTCACTGGTAGAGGTTTGATGCCGAGCTTTGAACTGGACTTGAATTCAACTTGGGTTCGGTACTGTTCTGCAAACGCCTCACATAACTCTACTGCATGTTCAGCAGTGATAAAGCCACAAATGAAAGCACCATCAATCCACATGCAGTGTTCAACGGTGTTTTCATTCAGAATACCTACACGACTCCGCATTTCGCGCAAAAAACAAAGAAATGGGATATTCGTCTTTAACGCACGGAAAGTAACGGGAAGCATTGGAACACAAGGCAACTTGCAGATATCGATGCATTGCGTGTAGAATAGCCATGAGGCTAATAGCATGGCACGTACCATGTTGTGATCCCCTGCCGACCTGCGAAGAAATATCATCAGGTCCAACCTCATTGCTTCCGAGCTTGCGTCCGATTCCTTCAGTTCGCATCCAATGCCGCCAATGACTGTGACATAGGCACCACCCAACGGCACAGAGCCCTCCGGCGCGTCCCGTCGATCATTGTAAAGAAAGGCTACAGCACAGGGAATAGGACGCAATAGGTGTTGTTGCGACGGTTCTGCAATGTATTTCTGACGCAGATCCTTGTTCGTCTCACAGGGTTGACACGATTTGGAGAGTTCCATACATTTCTCGTAGTATTCGTCCCTGGTGAATTCAATACGAGGGATCACGTCCAACCGGATGTCCGTATCTTCATCCCGCCGCATGTAGTAACGCACATATGGATCGCAGCGCGAGTCATAGAGCTGCCCAAAGATCAGTGAGTCGGGTGAAGGAAAAAACTCCCTTGTCATGGGAATCAGTGATATCACGCGAGCGGAGTCGTTACGCGCCGGACGAAATGGTGCCTCGCGAAGTATTTCCGCGCTTGGTGCAGCTCCCATATTTCTCCTCCTCGACGTGTGTACGTATTTTCCTGCCTGCTTTGTGGTTATTGCCCCCTTTTTTTCCCCTCTTTCCCCCTATTTTTGTACTCGCCCTCTCCTTCCTCCTGTTGCCTCTCCCCCCTCTCGGTCACTATAAAGAGCGTGCGGAAAAGAAAAAAAAAAAGGTCTCCTTCGCCCTGCCTAGGCCACAACAGCACGGCTTTCACGGATGATAGGAATGGTGGTGATGTTGTCCCGCCGCCAACTGCCAAGGAGAAAAAGAGCAACCAAAAAAAAAATAATAATAATAACAAAGGAAGACGCAAACACTTAACGAACCGCGGAAGAAAAAGAAGTTTTGCCACGGGCATGCGCGCACATGCAAACAGTCTTACCACCACCAACACCAACACCAGAAGAGGAAAGCTCAGACCCTGTCATTCTCCACACACACACACATACACACATGCAGACTTGCGGACTGCCTCTTCCACTGGAAAAACAGAGTAAAAAAGAGAAATTATTAAGCACAAGTATCAAAACACAAGAAGCAAACGCATACCAAATAGTGCCATAAAACCCGTTTGGGAAAAAAAAATATATATATATAAGGTAGCGTCAAAAAAAAAAAAAAAAAAAATCCTTTTTTCCACTTCAGTTCTGTGAGTGTTTTAGAGACGGCTGCGGACAAACATATATATATATATATATATAATACACAAACAAGCACATGCTTGTATCTAAGCTTTTTTATCCTGCACAAATAGGAGGGAGTAATAATAAAAACTTCAATTTGCGTCATCTCTTACACAGTAAATCGCAACAAGGGAGAAATAATAAATATATATATATATATGTATGGAGTGGCATTCCCTTGATGTCGGATGTATTCATCTCCACCCTTTACTGGCCCTTCTCGCCCTTTTATTTTATAGTCACCATCGCCTTACTACGGAATCCCCTTTAGATCACCTTTTTCCCTCTCCCTTCTCTCTTAATGCATGAGAGAAAGAAGATGAGAGAAACACACAAACAGACAACGCGTGTTGACGCCACCAGTGCAGCGCAATAATTTGCCTAGAAACTCCAGGCAAATAAAAGCACTGGACGTCGTAAATGCCTCCCTTGTGGTAATATCACAATTTAGAACGGTGGTCGACTGCCATTATTCTGCCGCTGCCTTGAATATTACCGTGACTCATACCGCCTGTGAAAAATTTTGCCTCTGTCTTTTTTCTGACGGGTGGCGGGATCAACGCAGTTACCCGCCGTGGACAAACGTTTCACCACGTCATTCACACGCATGGCCCAAATGTACGCACGTTTGTTGGGGTCACAGAAGACGTAAGTCCGCTTCTTTGTCACGGCGCGAAATGCCTCCACCGTATCATATTCCACGTAAAGATCCGGTGCTATTGGAATTGTGCCCTTCACGGTGCGTGTCGACATATCCACATAAAAGAGGCGCGGAAGGTCCGTCAAAACAAGAAGACGTCTTCGGAGCGTCCTTTTGAAGAAAACGCGAGACTCTTTGAGCACCATCGAGCAGTGCACAACATTCTCGTCCTCCATTAATATGCTCTGTTGCAGGTCCGCCGAGAAGTCGGCGCATCGAAAGATGAGATTTGACATCCGTAGCACCTGCTTCCAGTCAATCCCTCCAAAAAAAGGGTGCGTCTTTAGGGCGTCAAAACCGCCCGTCGCATCGGAGCCAAGGCGGTCCATGGGATCGCGCCGCAGGAGACGCTGTACGAGGTCCTTTGCCGCTTCCGGGAAGTACGGCGGGTACTCAAGATGGCCGTCTTGGTATTCCTTTATTTTGCGCATCACAAGCATACAGTTCTCGGAATCAAACGGTGGTCGACCAACGAAGAGCTCAAACAGTATGCAGCCCATCGCCCACAGATCACTTGTTGCACTTGCCTTGCCTGTTCCCACCATCTCGGGCGACATGTATGCAGCGGATCCAGCAAAGGTGTTTGCCGCGTTGTCGTGGAGATAACAGGCACTGCCAAAGTCCGCGAGAACTACATGATGGTCTTCTGTAAGCAAAATGTTGCATGGCTTGATATCACGATGGGCGACCCCGACGGTTTTCAGGTACTCTAATCCCAATACGACGTCGGTGAGAAAGCGAGGAGCCATAATATTCATGTCCTCCAGACCCTTTCTCTTTACATAATCCTCCAGCGTTCCGCCCTCTACAACATCCATGATAAGAAACAGCTCTGCATCAGTTTCTGCCACACCGTACACCTTCACGATGGAAGGGTGACGGAGTGTCGCGGTGATGTTCAACTCTGACTGAAATGATTTGACAAACTTCTGCCGCCGCCAGAGGCGAAACTTGTCAACCCGCTTCACCGCCACGGACTTGAGTATCACCCCCTCCTCGGAGGCGTATGACGCCATTTCATTCCATGGACCAAATGATACAACCGTGTCGCCTCGGTTTGCCGCATGGCGGAGAGTATGCTGCTGGAAGCTGTTGCTTGTATCTGTGAGAACGTCATCATGCATTGTAGACGGACCACCACACAACTCCCTTGATATCGTCCGCGAGTGGACGCACGGTGTTAACGGTAGCAACTTTCTTGCCGATTTATCGGTCGAAAAGCTCCCACAGTGCAACGGCAGCGTCAAATTGGTCTCTTCCATAGAACGGGAGCGATAGTGGTTGTATTGGCCGTTGCTGCGGCGCAAACCACCAACGCTTTCACCAGCACTACTCCTCCCCGTCGGCAGATGGTCTTCTTCGCTACAAATTTCCCCAAAGGAGATGGGTTGTCCCGGCGTCGAATTTGTAAAACTCTGAGGTGATAGAGTCACACACGACGCCATTGACATTGCGGAGCCATACCCCACAGTGGGGCAGAGCATATTCAACTCCCCTCGCACCACCTCGCCGAAGGCACCCTTTCCTAGCACATGACCTCCAAACAGCCGCAGTCGCTCAAGTGGGATGATCATGCGGTCCGGCACGTTGAGCGATGTGCCGAGCGTGCCACGCAAAGTTCCAGCGCCAAGGCTCTGCAGCGTGTTGTTTAAGGAACAAACGGGAGAAGTCGCAATCGACGAAGCCGAACCACAGTCTCGCACACTCCCGTGATTCTGTCCAAGGCATCGTATTGCATCAGTAATGGGGATCAATGGGACGACGCCTGTCTTCACTTCAGAAAGGACTGTCTGTGGTGTCAACACAACATCAATATCAACTAAAGAAACTGCGCTAGACAAAGATTTTTGCATTGTTTTTCTGTTCCGTAAACTAATACACTTCTCCTGTTTCACGTATATATCAATTAATCCTTAGTTCAGATTGCAATTCTTTATATATTTTTTTTTCATATATAATTATATATGATATATGTGTCCACCAAATGGCCTATGGCCCTCTGGAGACGACACTAGTTTTCTACCCACAATTCACCTTCCCGGACTTAAAATAAAAAAGAAAATAATACGATTAAAAACAAAAACACAAAAAAATTCTATTGAATCTCTATTTTTTTCCTTCTTCTAATTATTGGAGCATGAAACAGAGAAGAAAAAAAAAAAAAAAAGAAGCACCATGCGCATCACACATCGCAGAACTCAATCCTCTGTCCCACAAAAAACATGACCGTCTCATTCATATACTTTTGTTTCGCCTGCGTTTCATTTACTATTCTCAGCGCTTGCTTTTGTTTTTCCCCAACACCATGGCTGAGTGAGATTTAGGGAAAAAATAAAGTCGTCGCATATATTTTTCTGCCCTCCGCTTTCACAAACAAAAAAAAGGCATACATGCATCTGTAAGTTATAACACCGACAGCCCTTGCTACACAGCGCGTGGTCAGCCAGTCCGAGTCGCAACCCCAAGTAATTCTGCTCCGCTGGGCTTATTCACGGCACACCAAACATTGATACCTGGAGCCGCATGCAAACGACCGCAGCGTGATGTCAAACGCGCCCCAACAAAGATTTCCCTCTCTCCCTTTTTCTTTTTTTTCGTGTTTGTTTGGTCTCTTTTTGCATTTTTCTCTCGTTCAGAGCAACAGGGCGAAGAGTAATAAAAAAACAGCAGTCGACGCGGGCGATTCAGTGCCACGCCACACCACACAACGTCGTTGCATTGTATCACCGATGCCGCTCACCAATGCGAGGCCTGGCGGGAATAAACTTATATTTCTCATAAACAAACAAAAGGCACCCCACACAAAGTAGACAGGCACGACCCAGACAACTGAAAGACACCGCCAACGCCACTCAACAAAGCCACAATTGTGCGCAACGGAATCCCCATCCGTGTCAAGAATCGGCCTATTGGCGGCTCACGTCTTTTTTTGCAAGCGTTTCGATCGCTCAGTAACGATATTCTGCCAGTCAGAGTAAGCCAAGGACTCAGAGAGAGAGAAAGTAAACTGTGAGTGTGTGGCCATTCATGCCAATAACGGTGAAGGTGCTGCTTTCAATCAAATGGAACTTCGATCAGGCGTCTCCAGCGCAGCGTTGTTTCCCCATCAGCGTCGACACTCTCCTCAAAAACAAAATCCCCTCCCGCCACGCACGGAACCATACCTCCAGCAAAAGAATATCAGGCCTGTCAGTTCCAATTTAAAAAAATAATCTCTTAAGATATGTGTGGCGGCACTTCTGGCAAACAGCGTGCGATTCATCCTGCAAAAAGGTTTCCACACGGAAGAAACGTCAAATAAAACAAAGCACATCCTAACGTTCACTTCACTTCTGCTCACCGCCCTGTGTGTAAAAACGACATAGTTCACTCCTTGCCTCTGAAACCAGCTACCCCTAAAGACACGAAGAGTCGTGGGACAGGAAAAAGATGAGCAGGCAATTCACCTGGACGCAAAAGGAGGAGCAGATCGTCAATATATATAATATACATGACATTCATCACAGTGGTCGATCGGTAATTTTTTCCCTTTTTTTTTTTCGTACTTCAAGAAGCTAGGCTTAAAGTAGCAAGGACCACACTGTGAGGTGGAACAGCCAAAGAGTACGATTTGATCGACCCCGCCAAATTCAAGTGTAACAATTCAAGACACCAGAGAGAAGTGAAAGCTGCGGCTGCTGCCAAAGAGACTAACATCACAGTGAGCCAAAACAAAGTTGATCGTTGCGGCTGCTTGGTTGCTTGTCCCAACAGCATTCCATCCCGCTACTATCCCGGAAGACCCCAAGGCAATGCATAACCAATATCCGTCTCTCGCCACTCAGAGTCCCTCATATATCCCATCACTTTGGTGGCTTCAATTGCGACTTCCGATGTTGCCACCATTCTTCCTGATGCTTTGCTTCCCTTCTTCGCATCATGTCCACCGCATCTTGACCAATTTCACGATGATCAGGAACAGAAAAGAGCCTGTACTCCCCCATCGTCACAGGTTCATGTCGCTGTCCTCGTGCATGCTGTCGCTTGTAATGTGAGAGATTAAATTCCATATCCGTTTGCAACCGCGGTAGAACATACTGCTTCCACCGCTCCTGAACCTCTCTGGTATTCTGCAGAGGTATCTCTGTATGCTCAGCAACGCGTTGTTGAATCGCCTCCTCCTCTTGCTTCATCTGTGCACTGTACTGGCCCAAGTAGTAGTCCCATTCTTCTTCGGAGAGTTTTCGACGCCACTGTGGAGTCTCTGTGCGTCGGCGATCTGTCTCATAGTGCCACAACCACGGGTTCCACGTTCCCTGAACCGACCGCCGCTGGAAATGAAGGTGGGAAGCGGAGAACGGCAGGTCATAGTCGTTGGCCGTGTTAACAAGACGATGGAAGCGCAGCCAAATACCCATGGAACTCATGTACTTTGTCTTGTAGCTCCGCTCGCTCCCATCACGGTATAGACCGGTGATGCTTGTCTCTGCCCATAAACGGGGACGAATGTCAATGGTTACACTCGGGTACTTTGCGTGAAAGCGAGGTAAGTGTGTCGCAAGAAATTGGCGAGTGTTAGGAGACCCCCTATTAGGACAGTAGGAAATAATGACTTTCTTTAGGCAAAGCTCACCGTTGCGGCTCATCCCACCAAATCCAACGTCACCGTTACACACAAGCGATACACACTAGGAGTATATGGCAAATAAAAATAAAAATAAAAATAGCATAAAAACAACAAAATAAACGCGCACAAGAAAATTCAATAAAAATGAAAAGCCAAAAAAATCCAGCAGCCTTAATTTCAAACGCCATTCCTGCGTGCAGAATGCATACAAGGGCTAAGATCTTCCCATTTTTTCTCGCTGCATATTCCACGGCATGCGCGCAGAGACAGGCTGTAATCCAAAGCGAGCACCACTCACACGTGCCTTCAATGGCCCTTTCTCACCCAAAACACCTTCCATCATGCGCTCGGCAGGATCTGCAGTGTAATCAGCCAGTTTTCGTTGCACCTCGCGGAGAAACCCCCGGTATGGCCACGCTGGCGGCTGTACAAACAACCCCTCCCCGCTCAGCGCCAAGTTTACAGTACGGTTCACAAGCCGTGTGTGAGCAACTACGGGCTTCGAATCCTGCAGCTGACGATACGCCTTTGCCACACGAGGAAATGGACCCAGCAAAAGCCCGGCCTCCTCTACAAGAAACTTCAGTGTCGTAAAGAGCGGCCATGTGCTCCACTTCTCTGTCTCCTGCATCACATCATCATTTTCACTCTCTAGAAAAGTCTCAAGGCGGGCGACAAGATCCATCAAGTTGCTGTGCGTCTGACGCGTCACCTCCATTTCATCAGTACTCAGTGCAAGAAGAACATCGTCTACGGCGCGCAGCACATGATCCGTGACAAAGGCAGTATCCAAGTACGTCTGGAGTTGCTGCTTTTGTTCCAAAAGCGTGGAAGAGGAAATAAAGTATAAAATATGCTGCGGGTTTTGTACGCGGTGCAGTCCACCCTCGGAAATGTGTAGCAGAGCCAATCCCCTTCCCTCCTCTTCGCCCCCTTCAAGGAAGACACTATCGCTATTAATTGTTGCATTAATGGAAACGTAATTGCCGGCCTGTGAGAGACGCCAAAATTCATCTGGTCGAGAAGCTGTCGTGCAAGAGGGTTCCAGGACAAGTGTGTGGCGTTGCCTCAAGGTACGCAGCAAGAGCAAGCTGTGATGCACCACAGGATGCCACAAGAGGGCAGCCTCACAATTCACGGCAAACATGAAAATCTCTCCCGTACCTTTTGGCTTCCCCAAGTTTTTTGTGTAACCAGCCCCGCAAACCCACTCTCTCTTCACCCCACCTCAAGAGGGTTCTTGCCGAAACAAATAATAGAAATGACAAAAAAGAAGCGCATGCGATACACAACACATATTTATAGACATGAATAAATAGGCACATATCTTTAAACGTGAAGCCATATACACAGAACAACACCCACTCTCACCACAGCTACGCTTCTCACCGTCCCCAAAAAGCAAGCTAGGCGTAAGCACATAACATTCTTCATCTGCTGCTTACAGAGCTCTTACACCTTACTGAGAAGTAATTTGAGGTAGGGAAATACTTGAAACACCTCCACACTTCCTTGACGCTCACCTCCATCTCTGTTTTTCTGTCTCCCTCCCAGTCTATTTTCCTTTTTTTCCTTTTTCCAATGCTCCGAGGTTATTGTATACATAAATTGGCACGAACAGTCTGACGAAGAGTTCATTCCTCTCATAAAGCGCTTTAGGAGAAAAGAGAAAAATATATATCAAAGTAAAATCAGCACCATACTCCCTCCCCCTTCCCCAATTTTTTTGACACCTTGCTGAAATTGAAACCTCCCGAATTTTTCATTATTCATAAATCCCACTCCCAATTCTTTTTCATATAAGTAATACATTTTTCTCTACTTTCTCTTTTCCTTTGCTCACTCTACTGTCTATTGCTTTAAATGTCCTCAGCCGTCATGGTGAGCATCGGTGGGCTGATGTGGAAATATGGACGGATGAACTTGCCATCGGCTGCCCATACATCAGAACCCTTTGACTGCGCATAAGCGCGTGCATTCTCGCGCTTGAACTCCTCAGGCCAGTCCTCGTAATAAATGTGGTAGAAGGAGGAGTAGAAAACGGAGATATACGTGAGGTACATAAAGGAAAAAAGTCCAACCCAATTCGTCAACACTCGGAGCTTCGTCATACGGGTGGTATCACGAATACCAAGCTGGTACATGCACTTCCAGTGCCACTCAAACACTTGTTTTCGCGAGGCACCAAGGAGGTGAAGAGGCATCTCATCCCATGCCGCTTTAAAGCGCTCTTTGGAGTTCATGTCACCCCCCAGAAGTGGGCGGCTTGTGCGCAACATGAGAGCGCGGTGAGATGTCGTGAAACTCACGGCAGGGCCTGTGCGACGAAGCATCGCTGTTAATTCCTTGGAGAAGTTTTGTTAATACTCTTGCTGGTTACTTGGCTTTTCGCTGCGTTCCGTTTCTTCCTAATCTTTATTTTTGAGGGGATTTTTTAATGATCGTGAAAAAAACAAAAAGTGAATGATAAGAGAAAATAGGGAGGGGGAGAAGCAATTAAGCGTGAAAACACACAATGGCACCTTACGCCGCCTCAAAAAAAGACGGCAATACTTAGTTTTATCGTGGTAAAACTGGTTACCATCCGTCCACGCTGGTCACCAAAATCTGTACCACGCCGACGAGGGTTCTGGTTTCCAATGTTTTTGCTTTGTGAGGCAAACCATAAGAGCCTTGCGCTCCGTGTTGCATGTGGCGATGCGTCCTGCCAACTTCATTTCTGCAGGGCAATCTAAGCTGCAGCGCAGCAGCTGTGTATTGAGATCATGGCATGGGTGTTTCGAATGTAATTCCATTTTGGCGGGAGGCACAATTTTTTGATTGTATTCACGCGTTCCCTGATCCTGCCAACCTGTTACAATCTCAAGATTGCGGGCGCTATCGTGTCTATAAATCATATTTCGAACAATGTGTCCCCCGCTACGGCGATTTGGATCCGCCGGAGCATCAGGATCTGCACTCATAGCTTCAAATATCCACTGTACTTAAGGTATAGACCTTCCTCTTTTTTTGAAAGGGAAATTTCCAGTGCAGTAAGCAGCGGTGTTGCAGCTGCTAATTACGCCCTTCAGTCTACCAGCTTGAGAGAGAATTGGAACAGAGAAAACAATAATACCACTGCCAGAGTAATATAAACCACACCCAAGGGCAGCGAGCCCACTGCCGTAGAGAAAATTAAAAAAGAAAAAAGGATTCTTCACCGCTACGCTGGAAAGGGAAAACGAGTCTGCCAGCGGGTGTTGTATTTTCCAATATTGCTCACTGCTCTCGAGATACCCCGTCTCTCCTTCTCGATATTGAGTGTTTTCGTGGTTAGACCCTGCCCACGTCTCTCGTTGTTCATACCGCTTGCATCCTCACGAGCCAAAGGCATACCTGTCCTGGGGTTGCGTACCGCTGGCATGTATTTATAGTACTGGTATGGCTGCTGTTTCCCCCACATCCACGTTGGCTGCAACCACATCTCGCGCTTATTGTGATTTGGCTGAGCAGGGCAACGCACACAAAGTGTGTCGTGGACCCACTGAAACCGACAATACTCGCACTGGAGCTTCAAATCGTTTCGAGAAAAGACAAGCTGTGGGTCCTTCGTCAATCCATCAATCTTTTTCATGTGATTTGTCGCCCTACCATCCAGATTGTTATTTGGTAGAAAAACATGTGCGTTTATTGGACCACTATACATTCCCAGAGGAAAAAAATTCATCAGAACGCCAGTGGGACACAGGTAGCGCAAGGGTCTTGTGGCCCCCCGCATTATTGCTCCTAATGCAATGTGTGGGCCTCCTTTGACCCCCTTTCCTTTAAGAGAAAGGCACATGAAACACAAAAAACGCAGTAAACAGGAGGCCAACGGCTAAAAGGTAAGAAGAGAAAGAAATAAAAATAAATGCTGCTCCCTCTTGACCCCATGGGATCCTCTTTCCTCTTTTTCCTCATTTTTTTTTAAACTTACTTTAAGCGAAAGAGGTTAACGTGTTCAGTCTCGCAGGTGTGAATGTCACCAGCAATTATCAATGAATGAAGTGGATCCCCAAAATCAAGCCCACGTAACTCCCGCATTGCTCCAGCGACGACTTGCTGCGTATTCGAACCCACACGTGCCAGAGCAATGGACATGGTGCTTCCATCTTCCGCCACTGCACCGCCCTTTTTCTTCTGTTCAACCTCCAATATTTGTTCAATGGCCTCATTGATACGCATATAGCGTGGTGGTTCATACACATTACGTCCACGCGCCAGGTTTTCGTCAGAGATCTCCTTTACTCTGATATCAAGCAATACCAATGTGTGGAGCCCCATCTCTCGGTTAGACATGAGTCTGTCGTACCACGAGTCTGGGTGCCACGTTTCCGTCCAGAAGCAGAGGGAGATTACTTGGCCAAACCGATAGAGCTGAAGTCCGCAGCAACCCACAGCATTAATAATAGAAGCGTTGTGGATGGAGCGGCAAGGAATACCCTGCTCATGGCATCGCACCACCAAGTCGAAGTGTGTAGTGGCTCCAAATACGTCCCCAACAACGAGCAATACAACTTTTTTATCTGAAGCTTCCTGCAGGACTTCCCCACTCTCTACCATCTCTCGGTCCGCAACCAGAACAGGTCTCTCGTAAACATTGGCCAGCTCCTCTGCAGAACTATTAATGAGAAATGATGTGTAAGCCTCCAAGTACACAACGTCTGCCTCATGCACAGCTTTAAGACCTTTTAGCGTGATATCACTGGCATCGCCAAGGCCCAACCCCACCAGTGTAAACATAATCACGTTCCCGAATATCAACAATTGCACAAGGATATGCAAATAGATGAGACCTGGTCTCTTCCTCGTGCAGATTAAAAAAAAAAAAAAACAAGAGAGAATAAAAAGTCTTTTCCAATGCGCCCAAATTTCGCCACTCCAAGTAAGATCCACCCAAAACGCATAGAAAAATAAGCAAATAAATTCAAAAGGCATATTCTACAATTAAAAAAGTTGTTGTGGACCCAAGAAGTGGTGATCTTCGGGGCCGCGCAAACGCCGGGAATCCCCTCCGCGTGAGGAACAACAGCGGCCAAATGAAATAAAAGAGAGAAAAAACTGCATCCACTGCCTAACAACGCGGTATCCCTGGCGAAAAAAAAAAATCAGCTAAAGGACAAAGAAACTAAGTGCTTAAACAAGAAGCACTATCGTCTAATTGGCCCTATCTGATCACAATTCTTCTCACAAGCCTCTATGAAGGTAAGTAAAGAAAAAGCTGGGGTAATTTTTAAAAAAATTTTAATTACAAAAAAATGCGCCCTCAGTCCCGCATCAAGATGCATTCTGCATATTTTTTTTGAAAAATTAAAAAAAAGTGTTTATTAGTCCCAATATTTGTGATCGGAAAGAAATGGAGCTAGCGCAAAGATCAGACCGTGAGAATAGGACTCAGCACGGTTCAAATATCCAGCTGTCAATACTCCCATTGCACCCTGTCCAGACCTTACATCTGTCTCACCGGTCATCTCATCCATTACCTCCGCTAGTTCCTTGCCCTCGTCAAGAATCTTGCTCATAAGCTTTTGGCTCATCTCAAAGCGTGCGGAAGAGCCTATTCCACACCTCCCAGTAGAGCGCTCTATCACATACATCCAACCACATTCAAACCATCGATCCGATATTTTCTCCAGTCCGCCTTCTAGTCCAACGCCATAATGAGCCTCAGGGACAAGACTCAGGGCTTCATGAGCCCGGTGCTGTGCACCCTGTTGCGACTCCTCGGCCGAGATGGGTTGTGCACGAACTATGGAAAGTACTGCCACAGGACGAACATCGTGCTGATAACTCGGAAAGCACATACGAACAGCAATATCGACAGAGTCCAGCTTCGCCTTGTTCGTTGTGCCTACAGCCCAGATTATCATCTCTAATTTCCTATGCAGGCGTCAAAAGTTTGTTGGAAGAAGTTGTATTGAAACAACAAAGGAAATAAAGGCATAATATAGCAATAAAGTTGACCATATACTCCAAAACGAAAAAAAAAAAAAAAAAATTGATGCCGTCCGGAAAAAACATAATAAGCAAAAGCATTTAATGCCCACCTTTCCACTAAAAAAAAACTCAAACCAAATAAAAGAAGCAGAAACATCACACTTGCAAAAAAATCAAGACCCCAGTAGAGAAAAATAAAGAAAAAGAAAATCCAAGAAAAAACAAATATAATAGTTGCTTCCTAATAGTCACGGACTCCCTAACATACCTAAATCCGGGTAAGAATGGGCAAACTAAATTGATCATACTAGTTTGCCCCGGGTGTGTGTTCCAAAATGGCAATGCCCCCCAATCCCCCAGCAGCGCATATGCTAATAAGACCATGACGTTTGCCTGAACGGCGCAGCTCATTTGCCAATGATGTTACAAGGCGTCCACCGGTGGCTGCAAAAGGATGACCGAGCGCCATAGCTCCTCCATTAACATTCAGTTTGGAAAAATCAAATTTTTCCCTCAGCACAACATCCCTCGAACCGGTGTATCTTTCAAAAAATTCCGGAGATTGTAGACACTTGATAGTTGCAAGCACCTGCGCAGCAAACGCCTCATGAATCTCAAAGAGATCAATATCCTCCGCCGTAAGACCTGCGCGTTTTAATGTTGGACCCCACCCAAGCACAGGGGCAAGTAAAAGCTGTGGATACGGATCAATGGCAGAAAAATGCCAGCTTTTTACGCTGATATCTGTGGGATATCCCAACTGTTTTGCCTTCTCTTCGGACATTAGCAACATGGCACTGCCACCATCTGTCAACCCACTCGATGTGGCAGGAGTTATGGTACCATTCGGTCTTCGAAATGCTGGTTTCAAGGTTGGTAGCTTTGCCTTCATCTTTTCAATGTCGCTCTGAATGTATTCATCCTTTACAAACTCAACAGTTTCACCATTCCTTGTCACGGTCACTGGGACGACTTCTTCCTCCATGTATCCTTTCATTACGGCCTCACTTGCATTTTTGTGCGATGCAATTGCAAGAGCCTCTTGATCCGCACGCGAAATGTTGTTGAGCTCCCCAATTAAATCCCCATGCCATCCCATTGTCCTACCTGTGCTTCGCTCCTCCAATGCCAGGGGTCGTGGAAGCCATGACAGAGGGTTGTAACCGGCTTCCTTGAAAAAAGCGGGGAGAGCTGCAAGTCCTTTCTTTTTCCCCATGGTAAGCCTTGCCAAGCCATAAGAAAGAGTAGCTGGTGCCACCAGACGGGCATTACTCATGCTATCGCTCCCTCCGGCGATAACAACGTCAGCATGACCACTCTCGATCATCATCACCGCTTGTGCCATGGCATTCAGTCCTGTCGCACAGGCCATGCTGGTAAAATGAGCCGTGATGTTCTTGGGGAGGTTCAGCTCTATAACAATCTCTCTAGCGCAATTATGAGCATCAAGCTGTAAAACAACATTGCCCCAAATAACGTGGTTCACCTCCTTGGGATCCAAGTTGCTCTTCCTCAGGAGGCCACTGACAGCAGCAGTGCCCAGCCGAACGTTATCTACCGTCATAAGAGAGCCAAACGACTTCGCAAAGGGTGTCCGCGCACCCGTTACAAAAACCGCTTTCTGTTTTAGAAAAACACGTCCACACCGCATATTGTATTTCTTTAAAATATATGAGGTAAATCTACCCAAGCAATTAGCATCGCATAAAAAACAAAATACAAAAAAAGCATCAGGATTGTCTCACACAGTCAAAGATCCAGCCTCAAAAAAAAAAAAAATGACAAGTACGCAAAATTACCACTAGTTCCATTGAAAAGAGAAATAACCTCCCATTATAACAACAACAACGATATTTTCTCGTGGCTGAATACGCCCTTTCTGCAAATACAGAGTCGTCCACACACCATGGGAGTCCAAAATGCGCGTATGGGGACCACATGCGTGAGACTGCGGAACACACGGTACAACAAAAAGTCTAGGGTCTCAAAAAGTCAAAAATAAAGGGTGCCATAGAACCCACCGTGTCTCACAAGCTGACACTGCAATAAAATAAAGAAATTCGTCCTCCATCATTTCACTACGGCCGTGGCTTTGATAAGAAATGGTAACCCAGATGTTCACACGCCAAAAAACACCAGAACCATTACTTCCAGCGAGCTTCCCGCAGAAAAAAAAACGGGCACCGGGCCCCCGTAGCGCCGACTCGGCACCGCGGGGACATCAGCGGGGAAGGCCGCGCCGCGAACCGGCCTCAAGGCAGCCTCCGCGGGCTCACGGGACTTCGTTTCATAGGAGCTTCTGAGGCGAATGATCGCGGGAGAGCTGGCCAACTTAGTTAATGTATATATATCCTGATAGAACGTATAGGCTTCTTCACGACACCTTTTTGTCTTATGAATTTTGGGGAGGCCACGACTTTAAGGACATCAGGGAGCCGGTAGCGGCGGGACAATTTTTTATTTTTATTTTCAAAGCCGCAGACGCAGCGAGGTTGGTTTGAGGAAATGGCATTGGTTTATTTTACACGGCCTCCGAGTGGAGCGACATTGGCGCCCGTCCTCCCCACCTGGTGCGCCAACATGGCGATATGCAGGCGCAGCTTGCCTTTATTGATGAAAACGGGTCGTCGGATGCGACGTTAACTGCGGCCACCCCGACGACAGGCTTACGCTTGGTTTCAGGAAACATCGCCAAACCCTGGGAGGATTCGAGCCTTACAGGACATTTTGCGAACCCCAGGGCTCCCCAAGTAGCAAATTTTGAGACTCAGGTGTTCCTGCCCACCGTGTGGGAGCGGCCCGAGAATTGGGGGCCCAGCAAGGGCTCCCCATCGCTGAAAAGGAGCGATCGATCGCCGGCTACACGAACGCCGTCGCTGACGCGTAGAATCGAAACGCTCAGCTGAATTCGCGGGCGGAAGAGGCGCATAGCATCCTATCGGCGCGCGAATCTCACATTGCGGTCGCCGGCGGCGTTCTTACAGAACGGGAACGCGCGCTTGTCGAAAGCGAACAGCAGTTGGGGGCGACCCGCGCCCGACCGCAGGAGCGAGAGGCACGCGTTAGCGCTAGGGAGGCGTAGCCGGCCGCGTGGGAGGCGTAGCCGGCCGCGTGGGAGGCGGAGACGGCGGGCCGGGAAGAAGCCCCCGCCACTCGGAGAGGTCCTGCAGGCGGACTTGTCACGCGTGAAAGCGCGGCCGAAGATGGCGTTGCCAAAAACTGCGCCAGACACGTTGCTTGTTGGTTGGGGGCGCGCCGCCACGCACGGCCCGACGCAACCCACGCGAGGGAGGCGGCAGGTTATCCCCCAGACGTCTCAGGGCGATTTTGGGTGACCACGTTTTTGCCCCTCGTTGCCTTTGCCTTTCGCACCTCCTCTTGGACGCCCATTCCGCAACAGAAGAAGAGGAGCGAAGGTTCCGCGCCTTCGACGTCACCGCTTGTTCCTCGCGCTTATGGAACGCGGGCGCTTCCGGAGTCGTCGCCGACTTCCGGGGCACGCACGATTATTGGCGCCAGGCGGGGGACCAGGTTCAACTTCCCTTTGAGTGTTTGGTTGCGTTGATCGGCGCGCTGGAAGCGGAGAGGGATCCCACCGATCGTTTTCATGAATTTTGGCAGGATCTTACTGCAGGCATTCCGGGTGCGGCTCATGACGGCGTCCGACCCCGGCGTCCCGCTCTCCAACATTCGCGCCCGTCATCGCACCGCCGTTCATGAGGCCGACACCTTTGCGAGGGCAACCCAGATTCCCTCGGAA